AATCTGACGTGACATGTTCGTACGAACCCTTTGTACGAACAAAAGTAAGAGAAATTTAGGATAAGAATACGAACATGTTCTTGCATGAGGCCCATTCTTAGATATCACTTGTGTTTATCTTTGTTTTCCATTGACCTTGTATCAAATCTTGCTAAGATGACAGAATGGTGTTTGTTAATATATACATGAGGCCTCTCGAGACACAGTGTTCAACAGTAGTGTGCAGAGACAGTGACAGATAGAAGCAGAGGCACAGAGACAGGCCAGGTTGTTCTCTGTGTTTCCTGTTGTTGCAATAAAACTCAGCTGATCATCTCACGGAGTACCTTCATTCTTGGACCACATATTTCTGTCTTTGTTAAATAAATATCGCCATAACAAGCAGCATCAGTGCTTTCACAGACAAACCTCTTTGAACTGAAGGTGAACGTCCTCAGACTCACTGTGAGGTGCAAAGCGCCCCCTGCTGACTGCATGTTTCTGTACGGCAGGTGGATCACGCCAAATCTCTTCATTATGTGGGGGCTGGCGTTGCGTTTCCAGCGGGGCTGCTGTTTGTGTGTCTGCAGTGTGTGCTCACCTACAGAGTGGCTGTGACCACCCTGGACTACTGGATGGCTCACGTCAGGGTGGCTCTGGCTCTGGGAGCCATGATCTCCCTCGTCCTCAGTATCCTTTATTGAGTCATTTTACTGTTGTGGGTTTGACAGGAACGACTACACCTTCATCATATCTCACTGTAAACTGAACTCAGTCTGTAACTCATGCAGGAGGGTTCTGTTAAGAGGTACGAGCTGTGAGCGTTTTGCCTTCCTTAATTAGTTCTCCTTCCAGGCGGCATCTTCTTCATCCACGAGAGTTTCGTCCTCCAGCACGCCGCGGCCATTTGCGAGTGGGTCTTCACCGTGGACATCCTGGTCTTCTACGGCACGTTCACCTACGAGTTCGGCACCGTCACCACTGAGACCATGATGGCCGGCCTGCAGCAGAGCCACCACGGCTCGGGGGTGATCATGGACCCCATGTCCCGGGCGTCCACGCTGGGCGGGACGACAAAGAGCCTGAAGTCCCCCGGAGGCAGCAGCACATCCACACATCTCAACTGTACCCCAGAGAGCATAGCTATGTTGTAGCTGGGCGCTGTGAAGTCTCTGCAGAGGTGGGCTGCCTCAGGAATGACCCGAGCAGCGTGTGGTCAAAGAGCAGATCCTTTTGATGTTCAACCTTTAAACCCAAACCAGGCCTTTCTACTGGTAATGCTCTAAAGTCGTTTTATTTCCTCCCTCTGTCCCCCACGTTCAGCACAGGTTGCTACAGTTTCTGTAGTGCAGATTGAATGTATGGAGCCAGTGTGAAAACTGGAGCCATGAATGTTGATATCAGCAATCCTGCATGAGAAAAGGGTGTTGCCTGAATCAACAGGAGAAAAACAGAAAATTCTTAAATCCCTGACACTTTTATCCCCCCCGACTCTCTCAGCCGATGCTTTGCTTGGCCCACTGCACGGCACACCTCCTGAATGGAACCAGTTTATGTTGGATTTTTTTGCATCCATAAATAGAAAATAACGAATGTTGAGACGTGAATAGTTCTAGTACGTTTTACAGGCTGTAAGCATAGACTATTTAACTAATCATGCATAAACTACTTGAAAGATATTTTTGATTAACCATGAAATTCAACTCACCTTTTTGTTTAGTTATTTTGCACTCCTAATTTGAATGCAAGTAGTATTTTTTTAATGATCTTTACTAAATAAGTAGGTTAATCCCAAACTATACATTTGTTCTGTTCTGACTGGCTTTAAGCTGTCGTTACTCTTCCTCACACTGCATGATCTGTTTGTTTGTTGCATAAAGAAATGAGGAACAATCATCCAATAATTTTCACTCCACTGGAGTGAACAATGCCTTTTTGTTCAGTGTGCGAGACGAACGCAGAACTCGTGTTTCAGCAGAATTAGTGACAAACGTCTGAAGTGGCTGAAATCACATGATGTTAGTCGGTGTGTGAGGATGAAACTTCTAATCTGACTGGTGTATTTACTCAATCACATGTCCACACACTGATCTGATTCCAGGCTGGATCCTTGGAAGCCTTATTTCAGTAAAAAAAAAAACTTTTTCTTTACGTGAAGCCGCCTTGTAAGTTGAAAGAGTTTTTCACAGAAGAGGCAGATCTGTTTTTACACTCAGTGTTATAAAAAAAATACTGCCATAAAGGTTAATTTTGTTGATTTTTTTTGTTTGTTTTTCCTCTTTTTTTCGTATCACTTCCTGTGTCTTTAAAATGATCGAGCTGACTGCCACAAGCACTTAATGAAACTAAAGCTACGACTAATCTGGCCCAATTAAAACATCTGCTCAGAATCACGGTAACGAGTGATTTCTTAGTGAGATTTTTGTTTTTAAAGCACATTAACAGACAGTGTTCTGTCCTTACAGTCTTGGTATGTTTTAATTTATAACACCAGATACCAGCAATATACATTTTGAAAAGGTCACGCCTCCTACCTCTTAGCTTTTGTGGGTTTGATGTAAAAAGAAAAAAAATCAAGGTGAAAGCTGCAGCTTTTTCCATCTGATTTTGGTTTTAAATGTTTTTTTTTCCCTCAGTCTACAAACGTCTAAAGATGTATCAGCATATGACAGAAGTGTGGAAAGCTTTATGATTATGTGGAGTTTTCACTGTTTACTCTGTTACAGATTTGATTTCCTGTTATGTGTTGGCTTACAGCACACCTTGCCAAAAAACAACAAAGACTGGGATCCACAGTGCTTTCTTCTACTGTTTTTGGGTTGTTTGTCAAATGGGTTTGGATTTATGTCAAATGCACAGTTTTAGCCTTATCCTTTGTACTTTACCAGATGATTTTGTTTTAGTTTGAAACTTGTGTTAAGCTGTAGCCTATTTCATCAATACTGTAACACAGAGTGAGTCCAAGTGGCAGCTTGTGTGAGACCTCACTCAGGGGGGTGGGGGGACCGTGTCTGTACCATTAACACCATCCTCCACATGCCAAATATTGCAATGAAAGGTGGATTCTGTTTTTTTTTAAATCAAAATGTGCACTCCATTGAGCTGTCTAAGACTATTTATGTGTGATCCCTGTATTTTAAAAGGTTGCCTGATTTTAATTTTTATTTCACGTTTTGATCACAACACAGATAAGTCTATAAAATGTACTCTGCCTATTTCCTTAGAATCTGAAATCTATATAATAGAATCAAGAGGCGTCTGAGAGATGCCTGAAAAACAAGTCGACACAAATGATTTTTTTATAAATCCTGTAAATATGTATGATTTTTGTCTATCATTTAGGTATTTTCATTTGACAGAGACTTATATTCAAATATTAAATAAAAAGGATAAATTATTAGCAAATGGTTTTCATGGAGTTATTGAAAAACTTGACTGTTTTTTCCCCCAGACAAAATCATTAAATCAGTTTAAAGTTGAGCAAAATGACATTCTGTTCATGGTGTGCATTTCTTATAAGGACTATTCTTTTAAGTGTTTTTTAATATAGAAAATTTGCCCTTCTTAAAATAAAATAAAAAAAATCAGCTTTAAAATGTGAAATAGAAGTGAACTAAATGTCAGATTTTTACTGATCTAGTAATTTATCTGATACATGCACAGCATGTTTTAATTAAAATGTGTTTTTTAAACTAAATCTCATTCGTAACAGAAACCAGTAATAAGCTGCTCATAGCGTGACCTCGTCTTCCTCTAAAATAAATCAACACTAGTCAGAACGATTTGAAACATCTTTTGTTGACATAACAGTAAAAAAGTCATAATGAACTTTCATAAATATTTCTTTTTGACAAGTGCAGCATTTATGCACCTTAACTTTACAAATTTCAGTAAGAAATAAAGGTTTTCGACCAACAGGCTTCAGAAGGCTTAGCATTTTAAAATGTAAAGAAAAAACAAAACATTTTTTTTCTAAATATTCAGCCGTCGTGCTGCTTTTGCTACATTCATGCCTCGTTACACCAAATGATGCTGCCTCATCTCTCCACCGTGGCTACACTCAATCACACATCATCATAAACAGATTCAGAGGTTTCATTTTATGAAACGTTTTCTTTCTCAATTTGTTTTTTCATGATTGAAGCAACCATGGTCTCTGTTTGTCCAATACTTCCTGATTTTATAGTTTTTTTTAACTACATCTATTATAAATCCAATATATTTAACTCAATTTCATCTCCGTGCTTGAATTAGACTCTCTCCAAATGAGTATGAATGCAGCAAGTCTTGAAGCGTTTGTTGTAGGGAAGACTTCAGGTGTACATGGCACCATGTAGGTCCTCTAAACGGTGCTCCCTCTGTTTTCTTCTCTCCTAACGACAAAAGGCAACATTTGTATCGGTTCACACTGAAAGAGCTGCCTGAAAACATTTAAAAAAAGCATGTTTGCAAACTCACCTTGTCCTTTTTAAACTCCTCGTATTCTGGATTGTCAGTCGGTAATTCAAGTCTACAGAGTGGACAGGAGTTGGTCTAAGATGGAAATATGGAAAAGTTTCACAGCTGCCCAAAGAAAAAAAAAAAAACAATCTATTCATGCGTTTGTGAGCTTTACCTTGCCCAGCCAAGGCAGTATGCATCCTGAGTGGAAAAGGTGTTTGCAAGGCATTTCTCGAATCGTCTCTTGTTCCTCAAACTCCAGCAAACACACCGGACACTTTAGACCCTTGTCTGTGTGAGCAACGAGAGAGAGAGAGAGAGATTTATTTAAACGTCATTAATCCAAGAGATGTCTGCACAACCTCACACGCTCCACATTTAAACACATCGACTCTGAATGTTTAACACGCGTGTCACCTGCTTGCTCAGGAGAAACCACCACCACCGTGAGGGTCTGAACAGCAGCTTTGGCAGCTGGAGGAGGAAGCCGCTGGTCCCAGTCTGACAAGTCAAACACCCCAGAGTCCATCAGGTCCAAGCCCTGCATTAAAGACCTGAACACACAGAACAATGACAGAGCTGGAAGCTACAAGATGTTGGAGCATTCTCTACAACTGTGTTGTTGCTGGTGCTCTGCTTTTTGCCGTGGTATGTTGAGGGAACCACACTGGAGCAAATATCATTGGCAGTAAGCTGGACCAGATTTAAGTGGCTGTAAAGAAAAAGATGTCCTCTCCATCACACCTGAACCATTACAGGAGATCTTTGCTACAAGCGTCACACCCTTCAACAGAAAGGGATGTATACACACATGTAGCAGAGCATGGCTGATTGAGTGGTTGTGATATAATGCTAATTAACATGTGGCCATCATCTTAAGTAAAGGGAAGAGAGTACTACTGACAATTTGTTAATGAATCAATAGAGTAATGAGAAATTCTGGTCAGAGGGCATCTGGATGGTGAGGCTAATTATGCAGACAGAGATTTAAAAAGTATTGTAGTCTAAATTTAAATATTAAAATGATCCAAAACTCACAATAATAAATATTGTCTATATAATAATCCATAATGACAATAATTTACTCCCAGAATTAATCTAAAAACACATACAACTTACACCCACCATGTGCACAGTGCGTTATATACAGTGAGAGAATACTATATACATATAGTACATATAGTTTATACTATACTATATACACAGAGTGTATACTATATACACTCACCACGTATACTTTAACAATATGAACTCACAGTTTACACATCTTTTCTCCCTACAACACAATCTACCACCTCTGACTAAAATAAGCATTGCCTCTGTTTTGCACAGTTTTTTGTACTGTTTAGTTGCATCTTTATCTATCTGATTTTTGTCTGTTGATGGGGGGGGGGATGGGGGGTCACAGGCTGGGCTTCATAAAGTACTATGAAAAAGTACTACTTCATAAAGTACTATATCTATGGCAAAGTGATTGTGTGTTTCAGTTGGGATGGTCTCACCTGGCCAGTTCAAGTAGAGCATTCTGTCGATATTGCTCCTCGGGGTTGGTGGGCTCACAGTCATGCTCATCAAAGTATGACGCCATTTTGGTCCAGTTTCTGTCTGCTGTACATCAAGGAGGAACATGTGAACCTTCAGGACACAATAACATACTAACACACATTTATGCCTCAGCACAGACTGACTTACTTAAATAACATAAACAAAGGTAACATTCAGCCATAACAAGTAGTACATTTATAATGAAACTGTATGAGATAAACTAAAAAGCTCCTCACATACATTAATATTTAAAGATGACTAAAGTGATACGTTCGACGCTCCACACAAGAACAAACAAATCTTCAAATAACTTCCTGAAATCGTCTTTTGTGTTTTATAAAAGAAAACAATACAAAAAAATAACTCTTATTTATTGTTTGATTCGTTAAACACAGTTGTCGACTTACCAAACCCCTTCAACATTAAACATTTGTCATTCTTCCGGGTATGACCTTGTTTTTACCACGTGACACATCTGTCCAATCACGATAGAGAAGCTCTTCTTCGTTGGATGAAAATGTCAAACTGTGGTTTGTCTCACTGACTAACAGCAAGGCTGTAGCAAGTAAATTTATCWTTTAACCTCATTTAACTGAATGTTTAAGGTAAATATTAAAGATTTTTTTCCAGACATATGGAACAAACCTGCGGGAACATTTGAATAATTATTTTCCATTCATTTAATGTATTTGAGTTGCATGGACACTTCAGCTATATTTTATTTATTTATTTTTTGTTATTTAACTGTTTAAGTAGTTGTTATTTAGATCAGGAGCATTTAGCTCATTTACACAGAGTCAACATTAAAAACCAAAAATGTATTATACTGTAAACTCACCTTGGTTTTTAGCTGTATAATCTCAAATTATTAGGACAAAAATACCATCAGTTTATACAGAATTTAGAACAGATGTGAATTATTGATTTTAAAAAAGGTCAGAGCCAGAATGACATTTTTCACATTATCCAAACAACCTGCACTTATCTACATGCCTGAGGTGATGATCTAAATAGCTAAAAATAATAAAAATAAAATAAAATAAACAAATCAAAGTGTAAATCTACATTTTCTGTTTTAGATCTTCGAGATTTCCTTGAATTTTCTTATTGCTCTAGGTTTTGGTCAGTCTGTGGTCAGATTAATAAAACATTCTTTGTTTCATAAAACTCAGTATATTCAAGTTTTACAAATTATTTTTAAAATTATGAAAAAAATAATTGTGAAAAACAATTAAAATCAGTAAGGGTAAAAATTGATCAATGACCATAATTGGATATCTTAAGTCTCATCACATTGAACTGTATTTTTACAATGCAGATTTATTATTTTAAAACGTATATTGTAGTAACATGTGTTTGATTTAGTATTTCTTGCAGCTTTCCAGCAGATGGCGCTGCTGCTCAGACCAAATAACTCCGCCCACAAGTGACCCCGCCCATTTTACTACTGTCGTCCCTCCCTATTGGAATATCTTCCAAATGTTTAAGACACTACACTTAGTTTTTCTAATAAGAAGGCTTTGCAAAGATACAAACCCAATTAATGACCTTATTTTAGGTGTGAATGTTGTCCTGATAATGTCTGATGCAGATTGTTTATGCTCCTAATGTGTGTGTGTGTGTGTGTGTG